AGTGTATGCTTTCGGTAGTATAAATACAAGTAGTCCGCGTCCGCACTGTCCGTGTACGCGTCTGGATTGCTCATGCGGAAAGTATAACACAGGCTTAAGGCTTGCTGAGTCTTTTGCAACTGCAAAACTTTGAGGAATGACTTATTTTCAACTTTGCTTTATCACTTAATGTTCAAGCTGAGCCTCACGCCCTGAAAGCGAAAGGGGAAAATGAAAAAAGAGGGATCCATTACCTGAGCTAACAATAAGGAGTGGTGTTTGTTTGAGGCTGCAAATGTGCCCAACCTGTCGTGCTTAGATATTTCTGAGAGATGTTGCAAATTTGCCTGCATCTCATTCGCTACCCCGTTCTCATTCTCCAAACCCAGCATCCTCATCAGTCGGACACCCTTCAGTGATTCAGAAACGAGGTTTTCCTTTTTTTCCCCTTTCCATCTCTCTCAATTTCTTGAGTGCCACACCTGAAATTGCTTTGACATTCAGATGCAAACATAACCATTGACACCCGCCTGATGGTTTTGGAATGCAAATGGACAGGGCTCTCTCTCCTTTCCTCTCTGCTTTCTGATCTCATCCCTCTCTCCCAGCCTAATGAGGGAAAGCTGATAGCTTGCTTTCTCAGATCAGGCAGACGTGGATATGGGCATATTGAGATTGGGGTTTGAGGGGACAGGGGTAATGTCACCGAAAGCCTACAGGAAATCAATTTCACAAGTGCTGTCTCCCCACTGTGAAATGCTACCCCGCTGTCTGCAAGGAGCAAAAGTGATACAGACAGGACAGTTCTCTCGCACTCTCAAGGAAAAACGTGAACGCATTAGTTCATTTTATGTGTACATTTAATGTTGCATTGGCACAGTAGATTTCCCCTCCTTCCGTTTCCCTGTCCTTTCTTCCATGCTTTCCTTCCACGCTTCCTCCTTTCCCTCTATTTATCAATCTTTACGTCTTTGTGATGTTTCCTTTCTGTCTGCCTTCCTTCTTTCATTCCTACTGCCCCTTTTCCTCTTTATTCCTTCCAACTTTTCCTCTTGTTTTCCTTTTTTCCCTTTCCTTTGTTCCTTACATACTTCCTTACCACTCACTTGTCCACTTCCTTTTTCTTCTCCTCCTCCCTCCTCCATTTTTACTTTCCTTTTTTCCTTGCTTGCATCTCTTTCCCTTAGTCTTTCTTCCCATCCTTTCTTCCTTCTTCCATCAGTTTTTCCAGCATTCCCCCTTTTCCCCATCCTTGTACCTTCCCTCCTACCTATTTTTTCCCTTTTTTGTTTCCTTCCATCCTTCTTTCTTTTACATTTCCTTCCTTTCTTCTGTCCATCTTTCTTCCTTCTAGTTTTCTCTTATTTTATGCACTTTCCTTTTCTCCTCACTATGCAAAAACTCTTATAATTTATGTGGTTCTACTGTACCTGTGTTACAAGGTTCCCCAGGCTCTTCCGTGAGAAATTACACATGTGCACGTGTGAGTTGAAGTGGACTATGTGAACACAATGAGCTGAATGCTCAAGTTCATGTGACAGGAGCATCGTTCACACATGTAGCGATGCCTGGCTCCTCATGGATCTGCTCAGCCATGTGCCTCTCCATCAGGGGTTTGGGCTTGGGCTCGGACATTTACAAATCTCCTCCGGACTTGGCTAAATGGAAACCATCCATCAGAGGTGACAGGAAGCAAACAAAGCCCCAACATTAGCTGCATGGATGCTTTTGATGATGTCTTAAGCCTCTAGAGGTGGCTGACCTAATGTGGTGCATTGGGGAAGGAAGGGAGAACACAGAGTGCAAGATCAGTAGATGTAGTGAGTGTGCAAACCAACAAGGGTTGACAGAACTCTTTTATACAAGAAGGGTGTGAAAGTCTAAGACGGTGAGCGAAGGGGGTGGTCATTGACTTGGGGCATAGCAGATCTGTGTTTTAATAAGAGAACTGCATTGATGAAGATTGATCAGTGGTGGTGTGGGAGTTGGAGGCTGGGATGAAAGCCCCTTGAGGCTGAGCTCCGATCATTCTTGCCCTGATTAGGATTAAGGCCGAGCAGTGTAATGTCCACTAATTCTGACTCTTGTCCATGGTTTTTCTATTGTTCTGTTTGGTAGAGATAAGCAGCATTGAATTTGAGAGTGTGAGAGGGGGGATTTAGGGGAAGATGGAGAAAATGGGAGAAAGTAAGAAGCTGAGAAAGAGGATGAGTAAAATACAATGAAAATAAAAGAAGAGTGAAGAAAAATTGTGAGGTGTGTTTAGAGGATTTAAGATATCAGAATGAATGTGATGGACATGCAGAGAAAGAATCCGTCCAGTCTTGACACCCTAAGGGCGCCTCCTTTGTCTCTCTCTAAATCCCACTTAAAGGACCAGTTTGTCCAGTTTGAGTGATTTATGGCTATGTTAACCATAGATTTTTCTGAGGAAAATGTGAATGGTGGTTATTACTGTAACCTTCCATGCTTCCATGATGCTCGGATGTTGTCCTGTGATTTGGATTTCTGAGTATCTTGTAGCATGTTGGTAGGGCATTTTGGCTGGTTGCCACAGTAGTTACTGGCTCAGTAAGTAGAGCCCAGACCTAAATCTCTCTAAATTTCTGTTCCCAAACAGATTTGATTTTGCTGCTGATACCAGACCACAGAAGGTGATTGTTTATGACATTTGAGATTTGGAAAAATTAGCTTTTTGCGGTCTGATTAATGCAGAGGCCATATCAATGTCACCATAATCACTGTTGCAAAATGCAACAGATGGAAAAACAGAATGTCAGTTACCTGTGCAACTTGAACGGGTTATTATAGCCCTTTTAAACCCAACAGTCTAAATTGTCACAGGAGCGTGGAGAGCGTGTGATAGGCAGGACCTTCAAAATAGACCTTTCACTCCTTAATTTATGTGGATTTATTCCATTCGCAAGGGATTCTTTAATAAATTGGAATTAGCAGCATTGAGGCAGTGATCTGAATATGATGACATGAATTATTGATTCCCTGACAGCTGCTTGCAAATCTAGCCTGACATTTGGAAATAAGATGGCATGGAATTATAGCCCGAAAATAATGAAGGCCATTTGTGTCGAGACGAGAGAAGGAGAGAAAAGCAAACGTCTTTTTGGACTTATTAATATTCATTAATGCCTCCTGTCAGAGTGCCATTGAAACAATTCATTGCTCACGTTTATGGTGTTACGTTCTTTATGATTTATTGATGTGTGTTCGAAAGAGCCGGGTGGTTATGAAGAGACTGCTCAGTGAAATCTGATTGCTCATACAAAAGCAGATCATTGTCAGTGAGAGTCAATGACTTCAGATTTTATTTCCAGTATTGTTTTTCCTCATCTTGCAATCCTTTTTTTCTTAAATTATCTAAAAAATTGCACTTACTAAGTAGTCTTTTTGTATTAAACTCATTCTCCACGTATATTTTAATCTTTCTAATGGAAATTCAGCATGGTCGCATTACCGGTGTTTTCTCTTGAATTAATTGCTTCTGTTTCTATTATTCTCATTTGTGAGTCACTTTGGATAAACGTGCCTGTTAAATTAACACATTTAAATTATTTGTTCTCAATTAGACTATAAATGATGCATAATTTTAGATGATAAAATGAGGCATAAAATTAGGCAGAGAGTGTCCTAAAAATTGCTAACTTGTATATGCTATACCTCATACATCCCAAAGTGTAATTCTGAAAGCTTGATCCACATTCCCTGTAGATATTTGGCATTTACCTTTATGTTGGATTCTCTGCAACCTGGAGCCGGCGTGACTTTTTGCTTGATCTGCATTATAGTTCCTTGTGGCACTATAGAGCCAATCATCTCATTGGTTTCTGTGAAGCAACCCCTGCTGATGCCACATTAGATAATTTGATCCATATGTAGCCAGCTGGTCTGTTGTGGAATTAGAAAAAAAACAGCGTCCCTGGGAATTTCTGTGTAATGTCAGTAGATATGGGTTGTAAACTCATTCCCTTCAGTGTGTTTGGCTTTAGCTGCCTTCATTTGGCTGTCTGTTTTGCCACAGTCCTCCCGGCAGTGGTAAAGTCAAAGTGCATTGCAGTTTAAAGTCAGGTTGTAAAGACACCAACGAAAACAAACAGTGGCGTACAAGCACAGGTCCACAAAGTTTGCAGTCATTTTGGTTAGTGCTGTTTGCAGGAATTAATCTGACAAGCCATGAGATTGGTGAGCTTTGCTTTCACATTTCATTCATTATAACACTGAAATGTGGTTGTGTATTGGTTTGTATCTGCGTATGTCTTCTGAATGCATATATTTGGATGCCATATCACTTATTTTGGGGTTTTTCCCAATGTCGGTCTCATTTCCCTTGCCTCACTGGAAAAGTTCATGGTATGTCTGTGCTTACTACTTGTAGGGCTTGTAGGGCGGAATCCAGTCATAAAAATGGAATTTACTGTATAACACGGAACGTCATGTAATTTGCCAAATTTTGGATGGATACATCAAAAGTATGTCTGTACAGGTAAATCAAAATACGATATAGACTAGTGTCTGTGAATATTACGCAAAAATAAAAATTTACTACACGCATACAGAAGCGCTTGTGATGCTTGCAGTGTTTTACAGCCCCTGCTGCCTCAATATATGAGTACATGAACATACACAAGTGCTCTGTCCCCTCTTACAGTCGCTGTTCACACTCACAGCAGTTACTTTACGAGTGTGAGCTTCCATCACTTATTGCTTGTACAGGCAACAAATAGCCCCTTAATCATGTGTAATATGAACCTCATTAGTTTCAAAGGATTTTGTTCCTGGAGGCACAGTGGCATGTGGGTTTTTTCCTCTTCAAGTAGCATATTATACTCCCAAGGGGATCTTTTATGTCGCCTAATAAGGTCTAAAGCCATGTACTCTTTTCTAGTCTCAGGTTGTAAGTATTGCCATTTTTCAGGGTTGTATTTAATTCTGCCGCTAGAAGCTATGGGTTTTGTTGTCTCGGAGTCTGTAATGGATTCTTCGCTGTGTGTTCTGTCTTTTGCCAGCCTGTCCCCCGGGCACCTACAAGATGTCGTCACGGCAGCAAGAGTGTTTCCCGTGTCCAGCTAACAGCAAGGCTGAAGAAGAGGGCTCTGTGCTGTGTGTGTGCGAGGACGACCACTTCAGAACTCCACTGGACCCTCCATCCGCACCCTGCACGCGTAAGACAGTCAGGTTCTGTGTGGGGTGAATGTTTATGTGTGCATTTGCGTGTGTACTTGTGCACAGGGATTTATTTATTAATGTGTGTTCTAATGTTTGTACAATCCAATCCTGTTGATTCCTGGTTTTATTTTGTTTACAGTGGGGTTTAGCACTGCTTGTCGTGTGTACAGTTAGGTGATATATGGTAACAATTTAGTTTAGAGACCAATTCTCACTATTAACTATTAGCATGCTTATTACTAGCATATTGGCTGTTTATTAGTATTTATAAAGCGCATATTAACCTTATTCTGCATGACCATATTTTAAATCCCTTAAAGGGTTAGTTAATCCAAAAATGAACTACTCACCCTCATGTCATTCCAAACCCGTAAGACCTTCGTTCATCTACGGAAAACAAACTAAGATATTTTTTATGAAATCGGAGAGCTCTCTGATCTTCCATAGACAGCAATGCAACTGCAATGTTCCCAGGTCTAGAAACGTAGTAAGGACATTGGTAAAACAGTCCATGTGACATCAGTGGTTCAACATAATTTTATGAATCTGTGAGAATACTTTTTGTACGCAAAGAAAACAGTAATAACATAATTTATTCAACAGTTCTTCTCCCTGAGTTACCTTCTTCCGCCATTTTGGAGAGTACCCCAGAATGTAATCAGCATTGTTTACGTTCAGCATGCGCGCTGAACGTAAACAATGCTGATTATATTGATTTAGTTCCAGTGTACTCTCCAAAATGGCGGTAACGAAGACGGTAACAAAGGTCTTACGGGTTTGGAACGACATGAGGGTGAGTAATTAATGAGAGAATTTTCATTTTTGGGTGAACTAACCCTTTAATTCTACTACATACCTAAACTTAACAACTACTTTACTAACTATCAATAAGCAATAAATTAGGAGTTTGTGGCAAAAGTCGTAGTTAATAGGTGAGAATTGGTCCCCAAACTAAAGTGTGACCATATATATTTGTACAATTCACTATAGTAATTACACAGTTATTTATTTATTAGTTATTCACACAATTAAAGATAATGTGTTTACATTTTTTTCAATTTTGAAATGTTTACTTTCCTAGCTTTATGTGAATTATTAGCCGTTGTTAGCCAACTATAAACCATTCATAGGTTGGTGTCACTGGAGAGTGCTCCAAAAAGCCTGACACAGCAGCATTAGCTCAACCCTTAGCTATTTGTTTGCTTACCAATGGCAGATGTGGTAGTGAAAACCATTTCCAAAACAATTGTTATTTTTTGCTATTCTGTTTAGTGGCTCTGGTGGCACAGAAATCCCACACTTAACCTTTCAATTCTTGTGTGACCAGCCCTTTATTCTGGGCTGAATGAGTCTCTGAGTGCTTATGACTTTTATTTATACCATTAATTACTGAATTGATTAGGCTGCTGTTATATGAGGGAGAGAAAGACTGTGTGATCGTGTTAATTATAGTATCGATTCTACAGTCACTCTTATGAGCAGATGCCACCAGTTTATTATTGTGTGTGTGTGTGTGTGTGTGTGTGTGTGTGTGAGAGAGAGAGAGAGAGAGTGTGTGTGTGTGTGTGTGTGTGTGTGTGTGTGTGTGTGTGTGTGTGTGTGTGTGTGTGTGTGTGTGTGTGTGTGTGTGTGTGTGTGTGTGTGTGTGTGTGTGTGTGTGTGTGTGTGTGTGTGTGTGTGTGTGTGTGTGTGTGTGTGTGTGTGTGTGTGTGTGTGTGTGTGTGTGAGAGAGAGAGAGAGAGAGAGAGAGAGAGAGAGAGAGAGAGAGAGAAAAA